ACACGAAGGTTCGAATCCTTGATGTATTTTCTTGTTTTGCTTTTTTATAAAAAGTGTCCCAAACGCTTGCAAAATACATATACGCATCATATAGACCAGTTACAGATCTCCTTTATATTTACGGAGCACCAGAAATGATTATGCAAGTAACATTTTTCGTCGCCTCCACAGATCCGCTCCGGACACTTAAGATGTAATCGCGAAATTCAGCAGCTCCGTGCAAGTGTGGCCAGCAACTCGTCAAACCACAGCGCTTTTAGATGGAGTAGTGCCTTTTTAGAAAGTGACAGAAGAGAGCTGGTACAATTCGGCTGACATTTTTATGAAAAAGTACTGTCGGAAGAATGAAGCGCATTTTATGAAGAGATATGGTTATCCAACGCAGTGTCTGAAACAGAAAAACTTCTCACAACGAGAGCACCGTGTGAAAAAAGTTCATCACACCGATAACTTCGAATCTAGGCGTGCTAAACGAGAAGTATACTGGGGAGATAAGGCGAATTATGGAGTTGCGGTTGCTAACGTGGACGTCCAGATCATGAGAAATTACGAAAAAGACAATACGCTCATACATGGTTCTGAATGGTAAGAAAAAATATACATCGAAAGGCTGAATTTGGGAAGTTACCCCAAGTGGAATGTTAAGCACTTTCACCTCACCGGCTGGCAAAACGCCCTGAACCGCTTTATGATACTTGAACGAGCTCCATGAGTCGACGATCAGTAGAGTTGAAGGCAAATCTGTTGATCCAACGCATGATCTAACCCAATCCAGCATAAGTTCTTTGCTCATCATGTGGATTGTACTGACCCTGATCTCCAGTTCGAAGCGGGAGCGGGAAATAAATGCGATACGACCACTTTTGGGGCAGAACATATTGCTGGTAATATGTTGGGAGCGCTTCGATCGAATGAATGTTCTGATCGTAAGTTTTTATCGAATCCTCTAGATCTTGCTCAAAATTTCGCAATTCTATTTTCACCACATTCTATTTTCATTCTATTTTCTATTTTTTTACCATTCTATTTTCGCAGCTCTTCCCTGCTGGACTCATACGCAACCACATTTGTTTCGTGTATTAGCATTTCCTGTGCTTCGTAAATGTGAAGGAGATCTGTAAGTGGTCTATATGATGTTATGTGTTTTGCAAGCGTTCAGGACACTTTTTATAAAAAAGCAAAACAAGCAAATGCATCAAGGATTCGAACCTCCGTGTGCGCCTACCAGCCCATCGTCCTCCCAGCTCGGCCATCGCTGCATGCTAGGAACTGCTCGGGTTGCGTATAAAAACAGAACCCGGGGAGAAAAGGGCTCATAACTTCGTTCCCAAAATCGTTTCGCAGATTTGGAACCCAGAGTTGAAGTCGGCGTTCAAAAACATGTCGGTATATATCTCATCTTGAATGGCTACTGCGACCTAGTATCCTTCCCCTGTAAGACTTCATGGGATTCTGCATCGCCATTATCATAGCCGTTCGTCTTCATTTTCACCTGCTTTGTGGCAACTAAGTGAATGATTATGTAAACCAACTTGTTGAGGGGACACTAGGTCTTCATGAGTGCTCAATACTATAATTCTTATAGGCTCCTCTCTATCTTCGTCGAATTCGACCGATAGTCGTTCAAAACCACCTTCTAAATTGTCCACTATAGGTTGAACCATTTAGAGTCCCAAAGCTATATATGCATAAAACCAAAATTAACTAAAGTTCAAAACTACGCACGCTAATGCGTGCACCACGTGCACCCGCTTACCTACGACTTGTTAGACGACCGATATGAACACTATCGACTGGCTTCCTATTTCTTAACTGTTTCCTCAACGCGCTCACGTGACATTCACACCCTTCGTCGTGCCTACGTGACTTTCGGATGGACGCACAAACTGGCACACAAACAGACACACAAAATTACCGCTTTATATACAAGCAGTCGGGCCGCCCAGCTAACGCCGGGCTTCCCTCTTCCTTTGATAGAGTTGTGTTAAACGGCAAACAGCACACTCCTTTGGATCGAATGATATTTTTCGGAACACGGAGTACGACAGGGAAGCAAAAGAGCCTGCAAACGATATTCAAAATGTGCCGATGCCTATGCCTTTGTTTAGAATCTGCCTGTCTCGATCTTTCGCTGTTAATGTTAAAACTAATGACCCAAGATAATGATGATAATAATAATAATAATAATAGTAATAATAATAATAATAATAATAATGATAATAATAATAACGTTACTCGCAAATGTTGTCGAGTCATGATAAATACCATTATTAATTGTCTTTATGAATGTTGCCCCTTTCCTCTACGGATACATCATTAAACGAGGATCCAAGATTGTTAGCGGTCGGATAAGTTTTGCCATGAATGACATCATAGCAGAGAGAAACCGTAATCTTTCATTGAATCGCAAACTTCGCTGGGTAGCGGCTGTAAGCAAGAAGTAAACCAAATTTTATAATCGGTCCCTATCCGTGCACTTACCCTTCTTGTCGAGTGAAATATATCAAAGAATCAAAGCAAGATCGTAAATAACAAAGGCGCAAGGATACAACTGGTGATTGGATCTTGTTCTCTAAGGCCTCCTCTATCGTCAGTGTTCCCATCCTGCCCACTCTACTCCTACTGATTTGGCTCTCAAGTCCGCGGGATCAGGAGTTGTGGATTTTCGCTCAGACACTTATTTCGCACAAACCCCGCCTCCAAAGAGCGGAGTCCGATCCTACTTCCCACCGCAAGTGCTCGCATACTGCCGCCTGTCTTCCTACCCAGTTCGAGCGCCCTAGAGCCAATTCGCGCATTTTATGAGCGGGGTCCGGTCCTCCCACCTACTATAAGTGTTCCCATCCTGCCGTAGTTTGAACCCCCTAGGGTCAAATTGACAATTTTGGCGCAAACCCCGCCCCTGTAGCCCGATCCTGCCACCCGCCATTAGTGTTCCCACTCCGCTTCGGGTAATTTCTGATAAATTTGAACTTTCTAGGTTCACAGGGATAGGAGTTATGATTTTCCAAACATTTATTCCGCACAAACCCCGCCTACAGTGGGCGCAGTCCGGTCCTGCCACCTACCATATGTGTTCCCATCCTGCCGCCTATGCTCCTACAAAATTTGAACGTCCTAGGTCTACGGGGACAGAATCTCTACCATCAGAGCTATATCGCATATTTTAAACAAGAAAAGCACGAAATTCAATCCGAACCTCTTTAGCGAGGGTTTCTCTGGTAGGATATAGCTTAGGGTCAAAGACTTTTTTGGGGATACGTTTTGAAAACTACGGCGCACTCGCTCACGAAAGAGAAAAGATCAAGACTGGTGCTGAGGAAATGTTCGCGATTTTATCCCAGCTTCCAATCCTACGAATTTTCTCGACCACAGTGTGATGGATCGCCGGATATAGCCCATACTTCAAAGGAAAGCCTGCGCCATCGAAATGCACCACTGTTGCTGCTCCTGAGAAATCATGAGAGAGGCCCGGGCTCGAGTTTCTCAAGAAACTCTCCGTGCCACCGTCGATGAGTAGCCGAAGCGTCTTCGAGCTCTAATTAGTACTTAGTCGGTTATACTGAATCACTGTGTGTTCGTTTTGTAGATGCCATGCATAGTAAATAACTCACATGAATTCACCATGTATCAATACGAACTACGGATCCTGTAGCCCAATTCTTTTGTCACTATATTTATGGCGCACCCTGTATATACAGGGTGGCCACAAAGTATGATCCGCCACACGTCGCTTGCTAACCTGTAAATCCCTGTTTCAGCTGTGCAATATATGCTCTGGATAGAGCATGTCAGTCATGCACTATAGGAAAATTATTACGATGTCGGTAGAAGTACCTAGGAGAAAAGCGACCGTCTCCTCATCGCGCCACCATCGCACATCTCGTGGACGAAGGATGTTCCGCTGCAAAGTTGCAAGAAGGCTGCACATTAACGACAGAACGGTCAGAAGAATTGTGACTCAGTACAGGGAGCGTGGACACCATCTACCACTTCCAAAATCAGAGCGACCAAGAATTGTCAGACAGACGAGAAAATCTATAGTCGAGGTCGCGCACAACAGTCAAAACCAGCGGCAGTTGCTACTCGGGCAGAGAAAAACTCAAGAAAACGACGAGTAAAAACCAGGAGCCTGTTCCCGAAGTCGGTGATGGTGTGGGCCGGAATAACATCAGAAGGCAAAACACCTCTCGTTTTTGTTCATAAAAACATCAAAATCAACTCGGAAACTCACCAGAATGTTATTTTAAGGGACACACTGTTGCCATGACTACCTGAAAAACACTTTCAAGTTCGGGATGGGTGGAGGCTGAGATAAAATCAACAGAGCATGAGCTCCGCGAAGCTCGCCCACAGGGGGCTGGGCAAGTGCCGGAATGGGCGGTGCGAATAGCCAGAAATCTTAATTCGGCTTCGAAAAGGTCTAGACACCGGCAAAAAATAGAAGATAGTGCAGATAGGGTCAACAAACTAGACGAAAGAGACCCAGCCATGGGTGGAGCGTCCTCAAAATGTGCGGTACTTTTCAGATGAATTCATAATTGATTCAACAGAGGCGCGGAGGTCAGAAAAAAAATAATGGAAGTGATAAAGACCTAATACGTGTTGGGCATGCGTAACTTAGCGAAGCTCCGCCTACGATGGGCGGGGTGAGCATTCAAATAAAGGATACTCTTTAAAACTAAATAACTTTGTTAACACGTTGACGTCATTGTCGCGCAATGGTGCGCGACAGCCATTCTGTCTCGTAGGACGATGTCGATCAATGCTGCGCAACGGTACATGTTAAATCAAGATGTGTGTGCACGTTCCGTTTTTTTTGTGCAGTTTTTCAATTTAAACCTATAATTGTCCAAAATAGCACCGGCCAGCTACCAAATAAATTCCAGAACTAATATTTCATTTTTATTAACACTAGCAATCATAAATTGCTTGGAAACAACCTAATTTATTGCATTTACTGCATTTTGACTTACAAGGAAGGTCATGCATGGTATAGGGGTATGAGCACTGAGTATAGAACTATGGTCCATTTCCGCTAAATGGCCTTCTGAATGCCAAAAAAAGAGTGAAAATAATTTTGTCAGAAATGCCGTTTTAACCCACTAAGCGTCGTTTGTTTCGTTAATGGCGTCGACTATCCGCACAGTAGAAGGCGCCAGTGGACTGCGCATTGAAAATAACGTGAACGGTAGCCAAAAAAAGGGACCCACATGTTGGAAAGAGCGGGAAACTTTCATGTAGGCAGTCCACGGTTAAGCTACAGGCAGCGACGGATGGTGTGGTGGATAGCGATGTGGACTTCGAGTTGGGACGGGTAGGCTGGGTTGATGGTTTGGATTCTCAAAGCCATACCGTTTTTGCTTTTTGTGCTGCCACCTCCAGATTGCCTCCATATTGCACCAGGGCCAAAGCAATGAGCCAAAGAGGTGGAGGTGAACGACTAAACTGGCCCGGCCGACCACCAAGTCATTTAACCGAATAACCAAATATCAGTGGAGCATAAACGGCTACTTGTTAGGATTTCGCAGAGCAACTACACCGTTGTTTTGTTTCTCGCCTGCAGATGCTTTTTTCGTGGGAGACAACGCGAGATCTCCGAATCAATTCGGAAGATTTCCGTTATCGATTCTTCTGATGGAAGTGTCGAAGACATAGGACACGGGATCGTATTGGGCTGCTCATTGGCTCCGGTTCCGACGATGATTCCGAGGTGTCTGGAGTGAACGACATCCGCAGATGATATTCCATCCCATACAGGTTTCAGTGTAGGAGGTCGTATTGGCCAGGCGTTCACGTTTTCAGTCGGTGCCATCTTTCGAGATGGAGCGTCTCATCGAGGACTTCTCGGTCGTGCCAGAGGAGGCGACCATGGGCCGTAGAAGACATTTGGTTCGTCGTTTGGTACCTCTGATGCAGAACAGCTACGCTTCACCAAACCGGCTCTGTTAGGGCAGAGCTACAAAGTCAGTACGTAGTTGGCAATTCTTCTGTATGGTGTCCATGGACGTGTGTTCGGCTGCGGATGTGGATTCCATCGAGGGAACCTCAGCCAGGCGTTGGGTTTTTGAGTTCGCGATCGAGATTTACGCCTGAAAAAGACATTCCCAGACTTGTCAATTAAAAAATCATGGAGTGGGTACCGGTACACAGAAAGTGATGACGGATCCGAGACATCCCTGCAACATTCAATTACACACGTAAATAACGTTGAAGGTCACGGCCAATGTACATATGTACAGGCCACCGATTTAACCTGAAGAGACGCCTTTGGCATCAGTCGTACGATGAACGAGATGCGGAGGAATGCATTGTGCGGTGCAGTGGCGCTGGTACCAAGTATGCCTGGGGATCGAGTACGACTAGGTGGCCGGCCAGGTCACCCTAGTCGTCCACCTCCACCTCTCTGGCTCATTGCTTTGGCCCTGGTGCAATATGGAGGCAATCTGGAGGTGGCAGCACAAAAAGCAAAAACGGTATGGCTTCAAGAATCCGAACCATCAACCCAGCCTACCCGTCCCAACTCGAAGTTCACATCGCTATCCACCACACCATCCGTCGCTGCCAGCAGCCTAACCGTGGAGAGCCTATATGAAACTTCCCCGCACTTTTAAACATGTGGGTCCCTTTTTTGGCTACCGTTCACGTTATTTTCAATGCGCAATCCACTGGCGCACTCTACTGTACGGATAGTCGACGCCATGAACGAAACAAACGACGCTCAGTGGGTTGAAACGGCAATTTCTGACAAAATCATTTTGACTCCTTTTTTGTCATCCAGAAGGCCATTTAGCGGAAATGGACCATAGTTCTATACTCAGTGCTCATGCCCCACACCATGCGAAAAACCATTTTCGAAGAACGTCCCACGCCCTGAAAGACCTTCCTTGTTAGTCCTCCTGGCCTGGCTCCTCACTGTCAGTCTGCCTGAAGTTGCAGAGGTCGAGCTCAAAACCTGTTTTAGCCTTCGCATTTGGATCAGTCACCTGCTTACGCTTGCGTATTCTCGAACTGCTTATTGGCGTGTCAATGGAGTTCTTGTACAACAAGTCGTACACAATTAGCTCTTTGAAGTAATTTATTATGATTTTCCTTTCCTTCTCGCAATACAAAACACATGACTGAGGCAGTCTGGACTAAACCTCTGGACTGCTTCCGACGGGCTCGGAAAAGGCCCATCTGTCATACGTTTGAGCATCATTCATCGGTATATTCTCTGCTCGTTCGTCGTAGTCACCATCTGAGATTCCAGAGTCGGAATCATCAGTGTCAGAAACACCCACAGGAGCCATATCGTCGCCATCTAAACCACCGAAAGCTTCATTGTCGTTGTCGAGCAGCAAGTCGTCAAAGCTTTCGTTGAACTCCTCGATTTCGATATTCGCAACACTCATTACGACAAATATACTCGCAAGGATAATGACTCCCGCGAACCCTATTTATATACCCCGGATTCAAATTTATCACCGCCAAATTTGAAAATAGCCATAGCAATCACAAATGTTGGGCAAATTTCGAATATTGCCGAGCAGTCTGCGAAATATTCTTTCGTACCATTTGTTTTCAAATGTTTTTGACTGTAATCAATACAATTTTCAAGGACTAACCCACTGACGACAGCGCGCGTTTTGGGTTTTTTGGCCGCATGGGACATGAGCGTTTTGGCGGGCGCGGCCAGTTTGACGCGCATATGCGTCAATATGTCCCACGAGGTGCACTTTTTGGAAAGCAAAGCTGAGAGGCAACACCAAGTGTATTATGTTGTTGAATGAAAAAAGTAGTCGACAGGGTGTGCTCTGCTTGTCTGCTCCCTTTTAGCGATATAGAAACAGCTTTGATGCACTTGCAGAGCAAAGACAGGAAACTGCCACTTAGAGGCCTAGAAGGCTCTAGGAAAGGGAGAACTGGGGGTAGCAAGAAATTTTGCTTGCTACTAGTGAGACCTGGAATATGTGAATTTCCACTGCCTCGCTAAGACAGTGCAGACAAGTCGTGCGCCACATAGTCGTCTGGCCAATTGCAAATTCTTATAAAATCAACGACAAGGAGCATCTCGGAAGCAACACCTATAAAATGGCTGGAGTTGTAAACGCTTGGAAGCTCTACAAAGATGTGGTGAAGAATATCAGGCTAAACGACTTCAAAATAGAAGTGGTCAAATCTCTGCTAAATGTTGATTATGGCTACACCTCGAGTCATCATTGTCACACCATGCGACATGTGTTGGAGAAGGTATCTAAAGGTCTAAAAGGAATCAACAGGAGGAGATATTTAGAGTGTTACGCAGCAATGACTAAAGAGCAAGGATCTTCTATGGCATCGAAAAAAACAAGAAGGGTCAACACACGCTGTTGATTTAGGAAATTATTTTGCTTTGATTGTCTCAATAAAAAACACAAGTCTTGTTGCGTAAAAACGTAATCTCTTGAAGTTATTGTGTCTTGTTACTAACTACTTATGATTAATTCTATGATTTATGTGCTTTTTCTGAAAAAGAAGTCAAAGTTCAGTTTCAGATAGCTTTAGATCAGACTTTTACAAGGTTTGGAATAGCGTTGCTGGAATAAACCATATTTGCTTTGATCATGGACCACATTGTTTTTAAAAGTTTTAAGGTTTTGTCTATTAAATAAACACAGAAAAATTCCAAAAAGTTGCGATCACGCAAAAAAGGAGTGGTGACAGAACCATGACGCGCATGCGCGTCACTCGGTCCCTCGCGGTCTGCAAGGCTTGACGCGCATGCGCGTCAAGATGTCGTCAGTGGGTTAACAAATTTTCCTGAAGGAAATTGTCTCGTCCCACGCGACAGTCACGACAAAAATTGGCTCGTCGTCAACGTGTTAAAATACATACTAGAACGCGGAGAAAGGTGGTTGGACGTTAGAGAAGGTATGTAGCCAAAACTCAAAGGTGATAGGGTTTTGGACTGAGGTGGGCGGGTCTAAGATCAACACTTCATAACTCTGTTTAAAAACGTTTCAAAGAGCGGGGAAAAAGAGGTTGAAGGTTATAGGAGATATCCTTGCTGTATATAAACCGCAAAATCTGTTTGTCTCGGTTTGTTTGTCTGTTTGTCCGTTTGTAGCCATTTTCCTTGACGCCTTCTGGAAATCGAACTGGAACAGCCAGAGCAGGTTGGAACAAGTGGGGAATGAGAACTACTTGGGAACACGAAATCCAACTGAGCTGCGCCCACTAGGGGCGGGGCGGCCCCAAAATTGTGGTTCATCGGAAATGTATAACTCCTGTTCTCCTGGGGCTAGAGCGTTCAAATTTGGAAGAGATACAGGCAGCGAAAAGGGACGTCAATGGCACGTTACAGGTGAGGACTCCGCCTCCTCTGGACATGAACAAGACAGTTAATTTGGCCCATTTCCGACATGGGACGTTCGGATTCGGTAGAAGTGCAGGTGGCAAGATAGGAAAACTAATGACAAGAGAGATAAGTAGACTACGCCCCCTGAGGGCCGGACTTTCGCAAAGTGTTAATTTGAAACCGGAGCGTTAAAACTTGGTAGAGATGCAGGCGGCAAGATAGAAAAACTGATGGCGGGTGGCAGGTGTAGAATTCGCCCACTGGGAGCACGACTTGGGCGAAAATCGTTAATTTGGAATAACTCGGACCTAAAGCCTTTAACCTGGTAGAGATGCAGGCGGCAAGATAGGGGAACTAATGGCAGGTTTCATGTGTGGACTCCGCCTACAAGGGGCAGGACTTGCGTAAAATTGCAATTTGGACCTAGAGCGCTCATATTTGGTGAATATACAGATGGAAAATTGGGGACACTAATAATATATGGCACATGTGGACTCCACCCACTGGGAACGAGGCTTGCGCGAAAATTTTTATTTGGATCTGGAACGTTCAAATTTGGTAGAGATGCAGGTGGCGAGGTGGGAAAACGAATAGCAGGCGTCATGTGTAGACTCTCTCGGGTAAAGGGGAAGCGGGGAATCCGAAATCGACAATCCTGACTTAAGGATTTTCAAATTACGTAGCGTTAATTCACAACTTGGCTCCCTTCACAAGTGCGGCATCCATGTGTGATAGGGATACGCTGCGGTATCCCACTGTGGGGACGTTGGCCGACAAACCGATATGCTACATCAATCTATTGTGTAATTGACCGCCGACTGCAATTTTGTTTCCTTTAGTCGTAGTTCCGACTCTAAGAAAGATGGGGAATTGCGGTGGTATTATGTTTATCTAGTGATCGATTTTAGCAATCAACCGATTTTGATCAGTGTAGTTCTGTACAACTTGACGTAGGGATGCTGCTAACTACTCATTTTCCCGAAAAGAAAAGGGGACTGGTGAATGTTCTCACTTAGGAACTTAACATAAGGAGGACAGGCAGGCGCTATTCGGACGATCCCACTGCTTACAAATTCCATGTAACTATATGTGGAGAGTTCCATTGTTCAGCCAGGTGAAAGAGTCTTCGCCCATTTGCCTCATCAGTGCAGAACACTTCTTATGCCTTAGAAGTTGAAAACTTGCGTAGAACCTCTGCGCTTACATGCTTATCATGATTTTTACATAAAGTTTTATTAAACGATAATTGACCTATTGGTATGCTATCGATTGCCTACTTCGACGGGTGCAGATAAGTGATAGAAGTGTAAATAAATTCCTATTTCATCTCTGGCGAAGTGGAGGTGTTCCACAGTGGGTAGTGGATAAACAAGGAAGTAAATAATATCAAGACCCGTCCTTGATTTTTTGAAAGCGTCGGTTAATATATGGATGCACAAATGAATGTGGATGGTCACCATGTGCAGCTTTCTAGAAATGTGCGCTCTCGATAGACTGCTTATAACGCTATCAGTTGGGTTCTAACGGTTCTCACTATTTTTTGAGGAGAGGGCGATACACTATGTCGTGTAATTCATTTATTCAAGAAATCCATTTATCAGAAGCCATGAGACGCGCACGATATCGTGCGCGGCCAACTGATTTCAAAATGAATCATTAAAAAACTTGAAAGTGCAAAAATTGTTCATACTAGACAAAAGAAACAACCGTGGGACTGCGCAGCTCCACGGTGTGCCGCGGAGGCGAAAAGCTTCGAAAGGCGTCTGTCCCGCGCTCCAGACACGCAAAAAGGCGCGCTATCGTTGAAGGGTTAAAATGGCAGAGTTACAAAAAAAAACCTTGGAAAAAAGAAAATTCCAATGTATGTAGTTTTGTTGCCAATTCGGGTTGAGTTCGGACGAAAATAGAGGTTTTAGTCTCGGTTGGGAGTAGGAGTCTCGGTCAAAAATGTGGGATGGGCCGAACGTTGACGACTGCGATTTCGAGTGAAACGAGCCTAGTTGGCTGCATGTAAAATTGAAAGTATTGGGGCGCCCGGAAAGTTGAGAAAATTCAGTCGGTTTTTTCAACACAGCAATAAAGTCGGATCATTGATTAAAACATAATAGTTACTTCTCAACAACAATGTCTCTCCATACCGGGCAAGGCACTAATGCAATTCCCTCGAAAAGAAAAGAGGCCCGACACAATCTTTATATCTACTATTATACCAACTTGACTTCCTGATGATGTTGAATTTTCCCCTTTAGAGCAGGCCTGAGAGCTTCTGAAAGTATGGGGGTCATATGGATTGAGTTCAGGTGAATATGTAAGAAGTGCGGTAACCAGGCTATACCAAGTCTTTCCAGCTCATCCATCGACGTTCTCAAATGGGCTGGCGGAGTATTTCCCATCACAACCTAAAATTTCCTTGTAATCGATGCGAAATGGGGGACTCTACACACCGACTCCCTCAGTTGTTGGACGAATACTCTTGCATTTATCGCAGTGCACTCTGGTAGGATCTTACAGTTAAGCACACGCTTGAACAACGAAAGAATGAGCTCATGTCCTTCTTAGCGTGAGCGCCTCGCTTTGTAGCGAGATGTGGCCTTACGTCTACTGGTAGGCACTGCGATTTCCTGTGTGGATTTTCATCATTGACATCTGTTTTTCATCCTTAGCAATATTGAAATCGGTTCATGTCGACGTTCGCTTACAGCTAGCTCTACAATCGGAAATGATTTCTGCGTAATGGATGATGAAATGAGGAGAGGAGATCATCTCTCTCATTTTCAGAAACTTTGAGGAGTATTACTCTGACGGCGGGCCAGAACAGTGTCGATATTTGAGGACAGTGGAAGCTCCTTCGACTAACTTCGTCGAAGCCAATTTCTTTCTAGAGTTAGCGATCGTGCCATTTATGGTAGGTAACAAGGGAGGGAGCGCAACTGCCCATCAGTCACCATGTCTCATTCTAAGCTTGAGTGTCTAAGCGATCAGTTTCGCCTAGTTTTGAAGCACAAAGCCCCGGTAGCTTTGACGATGGCAGATCCTTCGGTCGATGATTACTTACTTCGAACGACCACGTCAAATAACGATCGGCTATATTACTGGTCTATCAATCAAGCTCTTTCCTTGTTATCGGGCCTATGGCCTTCTTTAGCGCGTTCGGGCGCAACATGCTTCCACAGTTGAGAGACATAATTTTCTCGACTTTTCCCGACATCCTAATACAAAAGTTGCAAGTGAAAAGGTGCGGAAAGAGAGATGTCATTTTAAAGAGAACACGAAAAAAGGTATGGTGGTGGATGCTGCGATTCTGAGGAGCTTTGGGCGAAACTTCTAACGCTGCCCACCCTGCGATTTCGTAGAAGCTGAGCTGGTGCTCTGTGGTGAGATGTCCTAGCAAGACTTCATATACCAACCCACGCTGCTCTGTTCCTCTTTCAGCGAAAACCGTACCAGATACCATTTCACAATGAAGTTTCAGCGAAACAACAAACCAATTCTACATAGTTTTCACCAACGATCTTTTTTCACAAAACGTTCATCAGTAGTACACTTCAACTAACTTAGTACTCGCGCCTTCTGCCAAGTCATCTCATTGAAAACTGAGCCAAATTTTACAACTCGCTACGAAAAGCGCATGGATGGCACATTATAAGATCGACTTATTTTGATCAGAAGATCCAACTGAAACTTCATATGATAAAAATTCCGAGGAAAAAAAATAAGAAAAGGACAAGGAAAGTTATATGAAACAGTTATATGAAAACTAAGTTGTACCTGACGGAGCTGTCAAGAAACTACGGAGCTACCAAGAAATCAATGTAAAAACTGTAATCCATCGATGTTCTCGAGCAGACATTCTAAACGTGTTATAAATAGTCGATGCGCATCAGTTATCAACCCGGATATCGACTGATACCGAACCGAACCCAGCTGATAGCCGTCCAGTTTCTACGGGAGGGCGCCCAGCATGAATGCAGCCGTCAGTAGCCCCAAGTTTAAAACCTACTAGTAAGGAAGTGCTACATATCACTGTTGTACACTGGCATAAGACGATTACACCCGTGCTTCCAACTTTTACCACCACTGAGTTCCAATTTCCCTACAGATCACGTGCTGATTGTCTGTACACCGCTAAACGCTCGGGATCCTGTCTGACCCCAATTAAATTGTGACCTATGAAGTAAATTCTCAATCTCGAAGGGGCTTCATTGCAACAGTAAATAGATTTGCTTTAATCACGGTGAAGCCGTGGACTATTGCAATCTTATTTGTTCCTTCTCAACAGAACCCCCCCCCCCTCTTTTGGGCAGTTTCCAAAATGATTACCCTAAGCTTTTTTATAGGCGGGTTTGCTTATAAACTACGATCTCTGGAGGGATAAAATTTGGACGTGATCATTTGTAATAGTAGAGATTACTACTGAAGACGCTAGGACACCATCACCTGTACCTTTACCTTTACTCATCACCTGTACCTTTACATAAGGTCCTATTAATCGACTCCAACATAACCCATGAGCCGAAAAATTTATCATGGTGAGCAGCATGTTCATGGAAGTCGGAGAAGATCCATTCGCAAAGTGATGGCGATGCATATTCATCTGGTTCTGAAAATGTGTAGAAACGAAGAAAAGAATGGTGAAGGTGAACTTTTAGGCGGAGCTTGCCTTTCAACATGGGGTGCTCACTCAAAATGACCAAGCCGTGTCAGTAGGAATTAGACCAGACTTGTGCTCTTTATGCTCAGAGGGCCCATAACCCGTTTCACGATATTCCGGATACTCGGAAAAATCGTAGTGACCAGTAGAAGCTTCGGAAAGCGAAAATTGATTGCATGTTTGAGGGAGGGAGGGGGGGGGGGGGGGGNGTGGTTTATGCGCCAAGATAATTGGATTCCTTACTATATATAAACCACCAGTTTGTCGTGTCTGCTTGTTTGTCTGTCTGTTTGTTTGTCTGTTTGTCTGTTTGTCGTCGCAAATTTCGGCATCACCTGAAGAAGCGCCTTTAGAGGTCGGGTCAAGTTCGGAATGGGTGGAGCCCAAGACATTATTAATGGAGCACATACGAGCTCTGCGGAGCTCCGCCTACGGGGGCGGAGCAAGTGCCGGAATGGATGGTGCCAATAGTCAAAAATCTTATATTTGCTTCGAAAAAGTCCAGACACCGGGGAAAAATGTTCAAAGGTGAGGATTGGGTCAACAAACCAGACGAAGGAGACCCACGTGCTGTGATAGGAGCTTTCTCAAAATAGGCGGTACTTTTCAGATGTATTCATAACTCGATTCCATTAAGGCACAGAGGCCAGGGAAAAAATAAAAAGAGTGAGTAGGGCCTTATGCGTGCTGGGCATGCGTAAGCTTAGCGAAGCCCCGCCCATGAGGGGGGGGGGTTGCGTTGAGACGAAAGCCGCTTTTCAGAAATGAAAGCAACTTTGCTCGGAAACATTCCAGAATGCGGGAAAAAAGTGGCTGGCGGTAGTGGAACAAATGTGGCCGAATCCCCGAAGTGGGTTGGCACTTAAGTGGGCGAAGCTTAGATCAAAGATTTATAAGTCTGTTCAGAAACGTTCTGGGATGCGGCAAAAAGGTGTTAAGGTATTAAAGAACAAATGTGGTCAAATCCCAGAAGTGGGCGAAGTTGGTACTAAAGTGGGTGGGGCTGAGATCAAAAATTCATAACTCTACTCAGAAACTTTTTCGGCAAAAAATTTTCTAAAAGTTAATATCCATGGTTCCACACACAGTAGTCCCTTCTACACAAAAGCAAGTGCACTACATTGACTTCAGACCGCATAAAATGAATTCTACAATAACCTCGGCCACACAGGTGCATCCTCTGTAGAGACATGTAAATCGCTACAACTTCTCAAAGGGGCTGTCCTTTCAAAATTAGTGTTCATGGCCACAAACAGCCCAATCTACACAGAGCTTCTTCGACTACATGGACTGCAGAGGTATTTGATTTGGATACATCGGAGTACTCTTCATGGCCACACAGAGCCCCATTCCACATCCTAAAACAATTGATGGCCGCTACAGAAGTTTCAGGGAAGAGGCTCAGATGAGAAAGGTTTATAATGAAAATCAGAAGCTCATGTGGCGCCACCACTCATGGCTAAAGCCCCTAGCGCACGCGATAGCGTGCGTAGCCGCCTAGTTTATAGCAAAAGTAGGTGAATTGGTCTGGGTTAGTGCAGAGATTAGTAGAAGAAAATTAGACGGGACGGACCCCATCGATGGGAAATTGACTGAAATTAGACGGGAAATCGACTAAAATTATCGGTTTTATAGTAGATAGCAGAAAGCGAGCAATTAGTCTCGAGTGCGAGTGATTAAAGTCAGAAATTTAAGATTTATTAAAATAGAAAGATGAACATTAGTGATGGATTTTTGAGGTTGCCAGCTTCTCCAAATTCTGTAATAAGCTCGAGCTGACCTGTTGCTGATAATAACAGACACTTCCTTCAAACTACAAAAGAACTACAGCGAAGAAAGCGACCGTAGGGCGCGATGAGAACGAAGCTGGTGATCACATTCATACACTTATATTGTTTCACTATTTTGTGTCCCACAGCTCTTTTTTATATCTGAAAGAAGGGAAGGGAGGGAGGGAGGGATGGAGAAAAAAAAAGATAAGATCCTGTGCGTGTGCGTCGCAACACACCTCATTACGAATTTGAAGTGAACCCCGACTTGATCCACGATCACTTCCCGCGAATATATTAGAATTCATACTGGTCGGTTGAATGAATGCAGTGTCACATTCACTAACAGTACGTAGTAGGATATCTCGGGCTCCTAGTATCTGAAATTAACAAAATACAGACATAAAATAGTATAAAGTTCACATCTAAATAAGATAATAGATAGTGTTACAAATCAATTGAAATGGTGCTCACTTCAGTCTCACCAGGTCTCATTATTTCAACACGTAATCGATCCCTTGTACCAACAGTTAGTCTAGCCGTGCATTTGACAACCCTGAAACCGCCTTTCCACATTGAGCGCACTAATACACCTCGACGGCCAACGGCTAATATAGTGAAGCTGACAGGGGTGTAAGTCGTTTGGCGCGATGGGCGGGGTCGCGCCGCCCATTTGAGGCAGCGCGACTCCGCCCATCGCGCCGTTCAACTCGTTCAGATCGCGTAATCTTCCGCTCTCCTCTCCTCCATAGATGATAGAAGCCCAATCCATCCCCATAGAAGAAAGGAGAACAGAAGATTACGCGATTTGAACGAGTTGAACGGCGCGATGGGCGGACCATCGCGCCAAACGACCGCCTCCCAGCTGACAGGCGATAGCGTCGATCATTACATTACGCGATCGATATCAACTGCAACTCAAGGATTTAACTCTTTCGAGGCACTCAAACATGTCTGTTCTGCTTCGCCTTTTTCGAAAAACTGACTAACTACACTTGTTGCATTGACTGAATATACATAGCTTCCATTTAGTACGACGTTGTTTTTCGCTGAATACTTTCTTGGATTCTTAAAAAATCGATCACCTGATATATCGATCAACACATGCTGTCGCCTCTCCTTCCTGGGCCCCATCACCTGCCGGCTATTGGCCATTCGTGAAATACGAATGGGCTTATTTCAAAAAAAGAAAATGGGATAATACGGAAATAGGGTTTCAGAAACTAACAAATCTTTGCAGCTTTTCGCCATAAGAACTCCTTTAGAATTTGGGACAGCATAGTTAACAGGAGCATTGCACAGCACTGAAAACCCAAGTATGCATATTTAACCGAGTTTACGATAGCTCTAAACTAAGACCGGCAATCAGAAACTTCGTGGCATTAGCACAAGGGCAACATTGATGAAACAAACCAAATTTGGAACACGAATTTGGAATTACTTTTAACTGGATAAAAAGTGGGTTAAATAGGAAGACGTACCTTTATACTGAATTGGATGACCATAAGGGTTGTAAATAGTGATAACGCGACGTGCAGAGAGTTCGGAAACAGGGAACTCTATTTCGCTTACTGACAAAAATACTGGTAACCTATCCGCATCACCATCATCCATTCCTTTTCGGCTTCTCTGAAGATGAAACGAAGTCCAACTGTGGGTTCCTACAGGAAGAAATTAGCACTGGGAATCTACGAAACAAGATATTTTTTTTGTCATAATCTGTCAAATCCGCTCAAAAATTCTAAATAGTCACAATTACAGTAACGAAGGCCAGGTGGAACTGAGTGTAACAAAGTATGGAAAGTCCTAGTAACTAAACCTAACAGATGGAAAAATAATAGAATAGTACTAAAGTATTACGCAGCAGAAATACAAGACTGAAGTTTAACAAGGTGAGGGAGGAAAAGTGGAGCAAAGTGCAGGAGTGCTGGCGAATCTCTACTATAAAACGCGCTACACACGACTTGAGCAGAACTGCGCTCTTGACGGGCGGCCGTTCACGAGCTGTGTATTGTGAATGCGTGTTTGGAGAAGAACTTAAACAACATAATCAGACAAACCCTACGTGCAAGCGGTTGCGTCGCGGCTTCGCGCTACAGCACGCTATTTCGGGGTGTCTTGGCACTGCAGGAAGGCCTTGATGACGGAGGACTTCCTCTTTTATAACGCTGCTTATTGGCGGTTCCGTAGCGCGTTCGAACACATTATTCTAAGGCGATTACTAATCGTAGGAAGTACCTTTCTTTAATCAACTAGCTGTTAAACTATAGTTTGGTAATGTATGTCCCTTTTCCTGCATTTTCCTTGTTCATGTTTCTTCCAAGACCATTGATGGGTAGTTACCCTCCCCTAGTGAATGGTTAGTGAACACTGTTTGGTATGTGTTTCTATTCCTATTGCAGGCTTATTGGTTTTTGTTTCTTCTGAGACAACTGCTGCGTAATTACCTTGATTGAGATAGTGTGCTGAATCCTGATTTAGGGGTATGCCAACTTCTATAATGCCGATTGATTCATCAAATCAAAAGAGGTACGGATGACGATGCTCACGCCAAAGAGAGGTTTGAAGAACATCCACACGTTGTGTATAATCGCCAGCGACTGTGCAGAAAACAGAAAAGCTGATTAGCAGGGGAGTGAAACAGCGGCAAGGCATGAGGGCGCGCGGCGATCTTAACTAGGTGTGGAAACTCCATGATCACTGCGCTGCTCGCATATCGATATGCAGCAAGTCAAAATTATTGAATGAATAGAATAACAGAAGTCAAACCAAAGCTTTAATAAAAAAATTAGGTTCCTCAGAGAAAACTTCCCGTTATAACTGGCCAAGAGTGTTGATTTTGTGCAAATAAAAAAAGC